TCTAAACGTTTTCTACAAAGGCCAGTGCAAGGAGCTAAAATAAAGAATAGGATAAGGGAGGGCAATCTGGAGGGTTGGAAGAGATAGAGATACTGGAATTATTGGAGAATTTAAATAGTCCTTTAATGTATTGCAACTTCTCCTGAAACTTTCTTCCAGTGGACTTTTCTATCAAGAATAGTATGTTTCACAAAATCCCCATCTTTCTGTTCAGAAAAGGATTCCATTGAACTTAGCTGCACTAGATCTTCAGAAAAACAAGAGTAATATTTTTTCAGTAGGGCTTACTTTTGAGGAAAAAGAAATAAGATTGTACCATTGTGCATTCATCCTCTTTCCATACTGAAATACAGGGGGGGGGGAATAACACATGATTTTAACATTGCCCTCTCATCCATTTTACTTGGATTTCAGTGTAAATCACTGTGGTTGTGAACTGTTGCATCCTGGATGAATTATGGCTCCCCCACTCCTTTTCCTCTTTGTTCCTTTCCCTACTCCCACTATAGTCAAAATTAAAAAGTGATATCTAATATAAGAAAGCTTCTCTAAAATGCTGTAGTGTACCATCACCCAAAATTGTAAAGAGTGCCTCTGTTTACAAGCAAACATCTAACAAGCAAAGCAACACAACCAATATTCTACTTACCTACATTTTCTCAACCAGAATGCTTTACCAGATTTTGAACAGTAACTCGACAGATTTTAATTTCTGTAATTGTTAGGCAGCAATTTCTAGTGAATACTCTGTAGAAAAAAAAACCTCAGGGTGTATTCTAATTTTAGAAGAAAAGAGTTAAAAATAATAGTTAATGCAAGCAAGTAAATACAGAATGTTTTCCTTACTTTTCTCGGTAATGAACTTTTAATTAAAACTAGTGAGTACAACTAAGCAATTTATTTTTATTTCTAATTTACAGCCATCAACATTTTTATTACTGTCATCCTATAAAGAATGCAGAATTCATGATTCTGGGGTTTGTTTGTTGGGGAGGGAGGCTTGGGGCTGCTCTTTCTCTGGGCCAAGTGAAGAAATATTATTTTTATACATGGTTAATAACTTCATGGATGTTATTTCAAACATTGTGCACAGCCTTAAACTTGTTCTCTAATCCATAGCATTTAGAATATTTCTTTCTGCTTCTCTCTACATGCACATTTCACTGTTTAGAACAGCATCCTTCATGCTATTATCTTCAGGCAATTCCCCCAAATGATCTGTCTTTACCAACCACTTTCAATGTTTCACAGTATTGCTGTTGTATTCAAATATCTAGGATGCCTCCCAACTAAAACTTCTTGTATTGTTGCTTGTATTCAGACACAAGAAGGAGAATACCTTATAATAAGATATTTCAGACAATTTGCCAAAGGAATCTGCTGGAGATCATATTGTATTCATATTATGCTTACCTCCGGCAGCCATTTTTGATAGGCAATGGTAATTCTGAAATTCAAGAAATTATCCCAAACAAGGAGCTGGTATCAGGCAATGTAAACCTAGAATAAAGCAGTACAGAATAATCTAGGGGTAATTTTGTAATTAAGTCTTTGAAAACTGTAAGAAAACCAATCCTTGAATCTCTTGTTCTGTTCAATAATGCTCAGAATGATGCCTATCATTCTATTTTAGCGTAAGTGGAAAATTGCTTGCTTCAGTTATCAGTATAAAGTGGAATAACAGTTACTCTATGCTGATTGTTGATCTGAGATTGATCACTATCTTTCAAGCTAACTCACCTAACAGTATTTTTTCAGGGCTTTTGCAAAGATTCAGTGAGATCCTGTCATATACGTGCATAGGCATCCGTTCCTAATTGCAAGATGTCAAAATAGTAAAACACATCACACTATACAAGTTCTTCCCTTTAGTATTTGCATACACAAGTACATGAGAAGTGGAGTTTTTATCATTTTACTCATTTGATTACTTGACCCTTGAGTTTAAATATGTATGCATATGCATACATATTTAAACTCTTGGAGGAAATATCAGGGCCAAATAATATCTCTAAATGAAACACAAGAATCAAAAGTAACTTTGTTTCCTACTGTTTTCAGAAACTTTCCAAACCCTGCACAGCTAAAGCTTTCTAAAAAAAAAAAAAAAAACTAACAAAAGATGCCTGAGACTTACCTTGTTGACTCTGTGATTTTTTTTCTTCTGACATTTGACTTACGTTACCTTGAAAAGATAATTCATTCGCTAATCTATAGCATACGCTAGCTGCAGAGATGCCTCCTAAAAACACCTTCAGTATCATCATATAGGAACAATACAAGCCAACTTGCCTATTTTTTTTTAATATTGCCCAGAGATGTTGCGATATTGTCCCCAAAACCTGCGAGGCATATCCAAATTCTTAACATAATGCAAAAAGGAGTGAAACTACTCAATGTAAAATTGTTAGGTAATTGCTAACTGCATATTATATGCTAAATTACTACATTAAATCTTTGGCATGTGCCACCTCCTACTCAAAAGGCTGGAGCAGTGAGTAGATTGAGGGGGAGGGCATCTGTTCTCCAGCTTTCTTACTTACATCTCCAAAACAGGATGAGACATTTTGCTAAAAACAATTAGGCTAAAATAAGGACAAGCAGTTTCCCTTCTGAAAGCACATTTTGCTTGCATTCTGTTCCCAACATTTTCTTTTCACAGTTATCTGTGAACTTGATGTAAAATATTACATGGGTATTCTTTTCTAAATATTACTAATTTTACAGCTCTACACAATGTTCAATGTTATTTGAGTTCAACAGCTAATACTGGCTGCTGGGCAGGCAGTATTTCATTTGTTAACAGTGTTAAACAGTGCATTAGCTATAGGAGACTTCTGGCAATTGTTGGCATAAAAAGTATAGCATTTGTCAAAAACTTTAAGATGATAAATTGGTGGTGACTAGGTATCATATGTACTGGAATAAAATTTTGAAATCCTGCAATTAATCTCAATCAAAAACTATAAACATTTCTTAAAAACTAAAATTCTACGCTCTTGACAAAAAAAATTCACATTCCAGAATTTAAATTAAATAGATTTTAGAGTATTGTGGGCATCTAAACCCCATCAATAATCACAATGCATTAGCTTCAAGCAAATTATCAAAGTAGGATTTTTTTTATAAAGTCACTTTGATCAGCTGAACTGTGACAATTAGTTAAAGGGGAGAATACCAGGATATCCAAATATTATAGTTTATACTGTGAAGCTGAAGAAACATTCCAGAAAAAAAGAGAAATAATTACCAAGACATTGTCAAAAAATGCTAAGCTCTCCTACAGCTTTCTTCAAAAAAAAAAACCCAAAGCATATTCCAGCAGGTAACACTTAGCAGCTATAATTCTGTTGAAAAATGAAACATTACATCCTACTCTTATTCAAAAGAATGGATGAATCTGATCAATCATCTACAAACTGCTTTTAAAAAATAATGGAACATAGTCTCCCCTCTCTCTCTCTCTCTCTCTCTCTCTCTCTCACACACACACACACACACACACACACACACAGACTGAAACTTTTATTTTCAGTTTAGAATTTCAATAACTTTCTTGTCCAAACCATATTTTTCTAACCTGATTGGACTACAGCTCCAACTTTCTTCCCATTGTAGCTGGAAAGTCTAGACATCATATTGTAAAACATTTGTC